TGACCATGAAGCGAATTGCCTACTTGCTGGATCGTGGGGTTTTCAAAGGCTGGCTTACGGATAGAGGGGTCGATGCCGAATTGCGAAAGTTTGCGTTTTTCGAGGTTATCGGGATTTTTGATCATTCCCTTGCTGTCAAGCTCGGTGTCCATTTCTTTTTGTGGTATAACCAATTGAATTTTCATGGCATTGTTTGTTATTTCAAATTTTCAATTGTGGAATGTTAAGGAAGGAGTTAATTGATTTCCAAGTTTTCGGATTGTTGATGAATTTCAGGGGCGGTGCCATTCAATTTTTCGGCACAAAGCGCCATCACGACAAGTGGCTGAGTGACACTGAGAACTATGCAATCAAGGGTTGCTTTGCAATGTCTGAGTTGGGCCATGGCAGTAATGTATGTTGAGCTCATGCCTGCAGATTGTTGTTTGTCTTATATTTTGCTTAGTTTTCGCTTATTGCTTTCGGAATTGTGTTTTTAGGTTCGAGGGATTGAAACAGTCACCACTTATGATTCAAGTACTGAAGAATTTGTTATTAATACTCCTTGTGAATCAGCTCAGAAGTATTGGATTGGAGGAGCAGCTAATGTAAGGATCATTATTTTTCTGATTTTTTTACCTTTGATAAGATAATGCAAGGATCACCTTAAAAGCATAGCGTCGTGCTTTTTATATTTCTTGCCCCAATTATATTTCATATTACTGCAAATTCCCAATAAAGTTTCTCCATCTGTGCTGTCTGTACACTGATATATTACTTTTCTTGTTGATGTTTAGCATGCCACACACACTATAGTCTTTTCACAACTCAGTATCTCCGGGAACAACCAAGGCGTCCATGCTCTTATAGCTCAGATCAGGGATGAAAATGGTAATGTCTGTCCAGGAGTTCGTATTGCCGATTGTGGTCACAAAATTGGCTTAAATGGTGTTGATAATGGTCGAATATGGTAATCATGTTTTTAGTTTTCATTTTAATTGACTATTCATGTCTATTACAGATTTCTGTAAGTTTAACTCTGGCTTAGAGGATTTAGAAATGTGTTTACAGGTTTGACAACATTCGAATTCCGAGGGAAAATTTGTTAAATTCAGTAGCTGATGTTTCTCCAGATGGGAAATATCTGAGTGCAATAAAAGACCCAGATCAGGTAGTTCTATTTCCAGCTGGACATATATGTTTTCCTTTTATTTTCTCTCGTTTTATTGTCACTTTGTTTCTTTCATTCAGAGATTTGCAGCATTCATGGCTCCATTGACATCTGGTCGTGTAACTATAGCAGTCAGTTCCATTTACTCATCACAGGTAATGGGTTTCAAGCATGGTGGCCATTAACTATTCTTGCATCTACATATTTGTAGATTGAGGGATTGCAGATATCTTCTGCCAACTGAATTTTCATCATTGACCAATCATTTATTTCCCTATGGTCAGGTAAGTTTAGCAATAGCCATAAGGTACTCATTGACAAGGCGGGCCTTTTCTGTTACGCCAAATGGGCCTGAAGTCCTACTGCTTGACTACCCCAGTCATCAACAGCGGCTTTTGCCTCTCCTTGCAAAGACGTAAGATTGTAGCATTGCAGTTTCTCGGTTCAATTGGAACTTATTGCTAGAACAGCTTTTGCACAAGTTAAATTATACTGTCTGTATAGAATCACTGGTTTTTCATGTCTAGGAAATACTTCTTATTGTCAATGTAGTTACTGATATATTTCATGCTCTTAGATCTTGGATATTTTGTGGTAACTAAGACAGCCAGCCAAGTTCATAATATATTTGCTACTTCTGTAACCAAACTCGTGACACAGAACCGAGCGCAATGGCGTTATAGGATTCATATAGCTGACCCCACTTAGTAGGAAAAGGCTGTGCTGTTGTTGTTGTTGTTGTAACCAAACTGAAGACAAATTCTGAAATTTCTTTTCTTGTTGGTGTCAATATTACAGTGAACATGTGTTCAATAAGAAGAAGTGAATAATAGATATTTTCTATTTTATAATTATGTGCTTAAGGGTCGGTCCTGATTCTTTCAGATTTGGTACAAGTGGCCAATGACTATGTGATGAAATTATTGGCACTGTGAGCAGAATGTTGAAACATTAAACCACTAGGTTTTGATATTATTTTTATTATTATTTCTCTGTTGCTTCAGATATGCTATGAGTTTTGCTTCAAATTACTTAAAGATGATTTATGTTAAGAGGACGCCTGAGTCGAGCAAAACCATCCATGTTGTTTCTAGTGCATTCAAGGCTATACATACCTGGCATAACATGCGGACTCTTCAGGTTAGGAATTGAATTATGAACTGCAAATTAAAGTTATTGTTCTATTTGGCCTTGCTGAACTTTGATGTATACTTCAGGAATGCCGCGAAGCCTGTGGAGGGCAAGGTATCAAGACTGAAAACCGTGTTGGTCATTTTAAAGGTGAATTTGATGTGCAGTCCACTTTTGAGGGGGACAACAATGTTTTGATGCAACAGGTAGTTTCAAGTCTTCTGTTCAAACTGCAAGATATTTTCTGTTGACATAGAATTTCTAGGAACTGAAGTAAATTTTTCTTAACTAGAAACGAAAAACGCTGATGTGAGCTGCAGTGTGTTCAGAACTTCTTTTATAATTGCCTTTTGACGCAAATTTGACTATAATATAGGAATGACCTTCTTGGATGGACATCATTTTATGTTCAAACAGGTTCCAAGTTTGTTACTTTGAAATTGATTGTAACTTTTCCTGTTTTGCATTGAAACCAAGCTGTTAGTAAGGTAACATATATATGTGTGTGTGTGTGTGTGTGTGTGTGTGTAAGATTAATACTATATCCGGAAATGCTTTCTTGCTAGAATGTTTAGTAACACGGATGAATTAGGTTAGTGGACGGATAATGGTGCGACTATGCTAGTAGATAAGTATTCTTTTAGTCTCTGAACCCGCCAGGAAAGTAGAGCATTGTTTTCTCTTTTGCCATTCATCAGAGTTCTATCTCAAATAGTGGAATTTTTGGATTTTAACTCAGGTCAGCAAAGCATTGCTTGCAGAGTATATAGCAGCTCAGAAGAGAGGCAAACCATTTAAAGCTTTGGGACTAGAGCATATGAATAAACCTTGCCCTGTCATTCCATCTCAGCTTACAAGTTCTACCCTCCAGTGTAGCCAGTTCCAGGTTGATCTTATTTCTTAGATCCAGTGGTTTATGTTTAAATAGTATTAGAAGCATCATTGGATTGTTTTTTAAGATTATTCATGTTTAAATCTTCTCATTGATTGTCGACGTTAGATGGACGCTTTCTGCTTAAGAGAGCGAGATCTATTGAATAGATTTGCTATGGAAGTGTCACAACGTCAAAAACAGGGAGAAAGCAAAGAGTACTCAATCATTCTTGTAAGAATCGTCTTCTCCTTACTAAAACCTCTCTGTCTCTGTCTCTGTCTCTGTAGAACTCTCTCATTGCTCTTCACTCTTCCTGTACCAGAGTTATCAGCTTGCAGGGGACCTGGGCAGAGCTTTTGCAGATCGAGCAATATTGCAAACCTTCATAGATGCTGAGGCGGCACTACCTGCTGGTTCATTAAAGGTAAATCTTACCAACTGTTTTTGACATTGTCAGACATGACGCTTGATAATTTAGTCCTAGGATCTGAAACTGCTTGTTTATTACTGCAGTACACATTCTAGTTTAGCATATGACTGAAGTAATCGGATATGCAGTCATAAAACTGGATTAGAATGAGAGATGGGTTGAAAGGGAGGGGGTGTTAGATTTATGGATGCAGAAATAATCTCAGGGTTTTTCTTTGCGTCTGAGTCGAAATCGTCCCTCATCGGACATTTTTGTCTGGGTTCTTTTTCTGCCTGAAGATTGCTTTCCCCACTATAATGATGTGAACACTTTCCAATCTGGAATGTTTGTTAATAACCTCGCTTATGCCCACATCATTTTTAAAACCTATGAAGTTATGGTCAGAGTTTTGTTTCACTGCAGAATGTCTTAGCTCTGTTGAGGTCTATGTACGCATTGATTTGCTTGGAAGAAGATGCGGCATTCCTCCGATATGGGTACTTATCGACCGATAATGTCGCTGCTTTGAGGAAAGAAGTAAGCAGACTCTGTGGTGAATTGCGGCCGCATGCACTGGCCTTGGTGAGTTCCTTCGGCATCCCCGATGCATGTCTGAGTCCCATAGCTTTTAACTGGATCGATTCAAATTCGTGGTCTTCAGTTGAGCGGCATTAGCACAACTAGCAGCTTTTCCCAAATGATTTCTTGAGCCACAAGTATTGTCGTCTAATACTTGTAATAATGTACGCCATTTTATATCTAATTAATGGCATCAACTCCAAAGTAATGTTGTGAAAATAAATCTGCTGGCTTTTAACAACAAAAAATGAATCCTGCTCTTGTTCTCATTTAGTTTTAATCCTCGGTTTGTTGGCTTTTTTATTTTTTATTTTTTATTTTTTACCAAAATTAGAGGCGGTGTTTGGTATTGTTCTTTGAATTCGGTTCAGTTTTTGAAACTACCGAGTTCTCAATAATTTAGCTACATTTATCATTTTTGCAAACAAAAATTGGATTCAAAACGGATACCAAGGACTTTTAGTAGGTTACCTTCTATAACAAGTAGAATGGACAAACGTTAAGAAGACTCAATAGTGGGACTTTTCATGAACTTTGTTGTCTCATATTTTTTTACATATGTTAGCACGATAATTGACATTAAACTGTAAAACGATAGAAAGTCCATCAAAACCAACGAAAGTTGTGTGCTACACAAAAATATACGAATGTAGCAGCACAATTATTATCTGAATGGCTGGATTTGAATCTTTGAAATGAATGGTCCTAAATGAACCAAGTAGTTGAAACACTTTCAAGCTTGACACAATCGACGCCAATCGACACAAGGTCACAAGGTTTTGTTGAGATTGGAGAGTAGGGTAGTAGCATTCATTGTCTTATTAGACACAACGATTTTCATTGAGCATTCATCGATTCGAATCGAGAAACTTGAGTTGAGATTCCAGATATTGGAGTCAAACTGATCCCTGTAAACATCTTCCAGAATTTAGGAAACCTGCCAGCATCAAAACACTCTAGGGAAAGGAACTAAACATATCGGTCCCCTCATGACCGAAAAAGGGGTGTGCTATCCACACCCTGTTTTACTTCTAACATACCCTTTAATAATTTCTGTCCGTTGATCTTCTTCAATTCATCCGATCCGACGGCTGAAAATCAAAAAGGTGTGAGAAGTAAAATGGGATGTGTGGATATCACACCCCACCGAAAAATAGTGTTTAGGTAGAAAAACGCCATCCCTGGCGAGTAACCCAAACAAAATGTCACTAAACTCCAGCAACTTGACCACTTGATCACTTGACTGTTATATACGTTCTACATGCAGGCAAGTATTCACAACCAAGTGCCACGGTCGTCAAGTCATATTAGAGGCGATATGATTAAGCGATCACAAAACTAAAGGTTTTGGTGAATGCTGCCGTCGTCTACTTATAGAGCAAAGCTAACCTAACATTTCCAACTCATCTCGGAGTTTAAGTAGTTGGAGTTGTTTGATTATCCGAGCCAAAAATATTTCCAGCATCAGCCTTTTTGCCAGCTTTTCCCTTACTGTTGTTTCCAACTTCTGTAGAAGCCTCAGCAGTGAGCCTTCCCATCTTTTTCTGCAGGTCAGCCAGCGGATCACTTGATAATTTTCCTTTGGAACTTTTCTTTGCCGTGCCAAATTTGAGCTCCAACCTATAAAGTGCACAGGCGTCTGAGTTGTTGACCTCATACTCGAACAAATGCCACTCGTGATCGCTAGAAGGCTGTGGATCCATATAATAGGACCTTTTCTGCCCCCCATATTCCTTCATTACCTGCTTTCTTGATTCATGCCAACCACGCCCGCTGTAGTCTGGCAGTGACCTCTGCTTCCTATTTCCACTCTCAAAGGCTCTTCTAGGCCTACCAAAAAAGAGCCACTCCCTAAGCGTTTCACCCTCGAGCAAAGAAAGATGAAATAGCTCTGCAATATTGAATTATTGGTAGCCAGTCAGTGATAAATAAAGTAACAATTTACTTCACTCCGAACCGATAAATGACTTGCTAATAGGAAAAATATGACAAACAAAAGTAGGTTGACAGAAGTGAGCAATGCTGTAGAATGGTCTGGAGGATAACACCAAACAAGATAATATATATATAAAAGAGGGGACTCCGGCATATACCTGAATCTTTCCATGGAGATCTTAGAGTAGCAGCCCCATCACAATTAGGGATTCCGACATCCTTCCCCTGTGTCTTAGCATTAAGCGCAGCAAAAAGTGAACCATCCTTCAAAGCGATGCCCCCAGGTCGTAGAACCGGAGTGTTCCCAGGAAGACCTTCATTTCTTGCTAAAAGGGCATGGCCACTACTGCAATAGTCCTGACACAAAACTTGGGCAGGCCTGGAACAATCCCAAAGAGCACATTTTGGCCCCAAGAAAGCAGATACTGGAGGACATATATCCGGCATAACATTTGGCACAACATCCTCTTCAGACTGTTTAATGTCATTGTGACTGATGAAAGGCCCTTCATTTAAGTAATCAGGAAATTCAAAGTGATTATCATTCATTTGAGTAGTCAAATCTGGGATATCGACCACTGTATTCGGGAAATTGGACGCAGTGTGGCATTGGTCAAGGTCCAATCCTTGAAAAATATCTTCTTGAGGTTCCTTAGAAGAAACAAAAAAGTCCTGAAAAATTGGTTAAGCATGGAGCTCATCAGTAATCAATCACAACTCAAGTAGACATATCCTTAAAAATTCCAAAACCACAGCATAGTAGAACAATGAGTACTGTCAAGAATACAATAAATCATACAAAGCAAATCATATGCTTAATTTCCCAATTCATGGTTTCTATCTTCCATTCCACGTTTGGGTCAATTGACAAGATTTACATTAGTCACCAGAAAGCAACCAATATGGGAAGAAAACATTGAATTGGACTTTAAAACTGTTGAAAACTAGCACAAAACATCCCTAAATCAAACAAATATGTTGTTCAATAAACCTCTTGGTTGTCCAGGACTCCAGATACTTATGTGAAGGACGATAAACACCAAACAATGTCAAATATATCTCAAAATCTTGTTCATTTGCAGAATTCCACAACAGGAAAGGAAAACCATGTTGCACTAAATGCGAAAACATCAAGAAAATGTCATATTGCGAAAACATCAAGAAAATGTCCTATTGCGAAAACATCAAGAAAATGTCATATGAAAATTTAGCTAATATACGATCAGACTGAATGATGAAGAAAAATTAAACTAATATGCAGACGAGTCACATAAACAACCGTTGGAAATCTTCCACTACAAAAAAGAAAAAAGTATTTACCTCGGTAAATTCCGTGAAATTAATCGAGTGAGGGTTTTGAAGATTAGGTTCTGGGCCTTCAAGCTTAGGTTGTGGCAATTCCTTCAATGGACTTTCTGCATCATCTTTCTCATCACAATGTTGTTTCAAGAGCCGGGCTAACTCCTCAGAAAATGATCCAAGGCTTCCATGGCTACCACCCTACAGATTTCGAATGTAATCGGATTTTATACACATACCAAACATTACTCGATACAAAAACATAAAATACGAAAACATAAATAAAAAACCAGCAAATGAGAAAAAAACCCACATGCAAAGAAGATGCAGGGGACGGGTCATTGAGCTCGGCACCCCACCCGCCAAGCATCTGATGCATTTGGTCCTCCCAGATAGCAATGTCGGCAGTCCGACCCTCCTTCCTGGCATTTTGAATATTGGTGACCATCCCTTGAAGCTCTTGGACTCGAGTCTTTGCTTTTTCCTTCAGTAGCTTGTGAGAAGCAGCCTCACACTTGCCCTTGGAGTCCTTCAGCATTGCTGCCCTCTGCTCTCTCCCTTCCGCTTCTAATAAAATCCCTAAAATTTTTTTTTTTTAAATTCAAGAATCTTTCTTGTATGTTAAGTTGATAAGCAATCTAATTAGAGAATTAAACGAACAAAAAACATAATTGAAATCATATTGGGGATAATACAAACCCTAATTATAAAAATCCAGAGAAAGATGAATGTTTGAATGAAATGGAAAAACGAACAGCATAGAGAGAGAGAGAGAGAGAGAGAGAGAGAGAGAGAGAGTATACTTCGAATCAACTGAACTAAACGTTTGTGCAGATTTTTGGGTTCCGAGATTTTGGCTGCTCTTCCGTCTCCTTCCGCGATTTGTTCATTCACTCGGCCGATCCGTCCCTCTTTGTTCTCGATTTTTTACCTATCCCTTATTTATAGGGTACAACGGCGGGACCTCTGTCCTTTTTACTTTGTACTGGGGTGACGTCTCCCGAGAGAGAACAAAAATGGTTGTCTTACCCTATATTTGTACTACTATTTGTATGAGTACTAAACTTTTTAAATTAAATTAACAAATCTGACGATCTGGTAGTAAATGATTAGATTATTAATTAAGTATTGATTAACATGTTTATTTGTTATTGATGACACATTATTTGATTTACGGAGTAATGTTATTCATACCATGTTTTTATATCACATTTCTATATCACCTTAGGTGGTAGATGAGTTTCAAGCTACATCATTTAATTTCAATCTTTTTATTAATTAAAACACTTAAATAATCTTAGGTGGAAGAAGGAGACTCCTGGTATACCATAATCATCATTTAATTAACAATTTTTTATTAATTATTGATTAACATTTTAAAATTAAATGCTAATTAATTTAGATGATATGGCAATCCAAATTAGATGCCATCTAAGATAGTATACAATTGTGTTACAAAAATATGGTAACAATAACATTATTGTTACTTATCACCAAACTTGAAACACCCATGAACATATTATGAGTTAGGTGGCGGAGAAAATTTGGTGCCTTGTTACGACTGAGACTTGTTGGAAAGGTTGGAACAATTATTTTTAAGGAAAACTAACGAAAAGTTCAAAAAAAACTTTAGTTCTAATGAAAAATAACAAATAAAGCTGTAATGATTTGTATTGATGGTTTTTCTTTTTTAATACGTTTCTACAAAGTTTTTGGGAACAAGAAACCTAGTTGGGGAAGAACGACTACTACATGGTGAAGGGAAAGTCTAAGAAGAAAAAAAGAATGGGAAGAAAATGGGAAAACATATGGGTCATTTGATACATCTAATCATGAGGAAGTCAAACTTGTGTCCAGAGAAGGTTGAAATATCTCGTAAGTCTTTCTGGTCTCCGGAATGGGTGAATAACTGTAGTTTGCCACTAATTGTCTCATTTTTTAGAGAAAAATATTATGATGATTTTAATGATAAATACGTAGTAAAAAGTTATACTCCAGCTTACCATGTGACAAATTTTAAGTAAATAGTAATGTCACTTGGTAAAATTCAGTTAAGGTTGAGCCCATCAGACGTTTTTTTCCTCCATCTCGGTCAATCTCGTTCGAATATGTGCGCGCGCTCGTAGGGTCTATATATTTGTGCGCTCCTGGGCCCACGTAAACTGCACCGCCACTTTCCAGCTATACCGGGCCAAATTGCACTTAGCCCAAATTAAAATCTTCTAAATCTAGCACCAGCCCACATAGCTCACTCGGCCCACTTAAAAATTCTACCGGTCTTTTTGTACTTTAACCATGAAATCCATGCTTTGTTCTCAAATCATGTTTTCAACAAAACTCGTACTTTGATAATAAAAAATAAAATAAAACTCGTGTAAAAGACATTCAACCCAACGATTTAATACAAAATCATGAATAAATAATAGGTAAAAGAGGTATGAAATTTGTATATAATTATGCATGCTCGCAACAAATATGAAGAAGGGATGCATCTGTTGGGAGACATCTTCTCAAATGGGTGTTTGCTCTCTGTGTTTCACCACACTTCAGACTTCATTTGAAAAGATGAGTCTATTGGTAAAAAATAATTAATTAATTATTAGAGCCCGAGCCCAAACCTAAGGTTGAGTCCAATTTTATTTTCTATGGTCTATCACTTCCAATCACTTTCTATAAGAGACAAAGCCTTATAAAGTGAGGGAACTTTTTGGTTGTGACCAATATGAGACGATAAAATTCTACTCAAAATTTCTAACAAAAGGTATACCACCAACATCGTCGATATTGTCCTCAACTTAATCACGTATTGCTGGATGTGACGTTTTATCACAAAATGCCTCTTTGAATCCCCCACATATCAGCTGTACACTATTTTGTTACATACTGATTGTGTGACTTGATTCTCCAACGTATATTACTACAATGATCTATAAGAGAATATCAGTATATGCATATAACAAATATACATGTACGCGTTACTGCTTAAGTGGTAACTTTGAAGTGGCGTTACTGCTTAAGTGGTAACTTAATTGGATTAAAAGGGTTCGCCTTGAACGAATTAGTGGTCTCAAACCATAAGGTCGTTAGTACAACTATACTGCAACGTAAAAGATCAATAGCTCAAGCCCTAGAATCAAGTTCTAGTTAGTCTTATAGATTCAAACAAAGCAGTGAGACATCACTACATGATTTGGAAGCATTTTGAGTAATAACATCATAGGAAAGCTTCTACAACGCAATATGCCTACTAGTTTAGTGCTTACGGTTGACATCAAAAGGAATTAGTAAATAATTGACTTTATTGCAAGTCGGAGAGTGTTAGATATGCCCTAAAAGCCAATTATAAGATGGAACGTTTGGCCAATACAACTGATTAATCTAATCATGCGGCAAGATCTCTATTAAAGACATAATCTCATATGCCTAAACAGTGTTTTGAAAATAGGCCTAGTTGTTAGGCAACTGGTCATTGCCTCGATTAATGCATATTTACATAAAAAAATGAAAAGTATATTAAGCGGTACTTGCGCGAGCTAGGCGGGCTGAGCACATGCCTCTTCTTCAAGCAAATACGAATCGTAAAGGGTGGAATTCTAAACTTACTTTTAAGTATTTAGCGTGTGTTCTTAATTTATTTTGCATGAACACAAGCACATCGATTAATCACGATCACTAGAATTAATTTAATATAATTAAACAGAATCCAACGTTCAGTTAACTATGCATGCATGTTAATATGATTAGTTACGCTTACTTCACCTGTCAATCTTGCGCACATGCGGACTAAAGTATTCCACAACCTAATAGTTGCTATGTTTCTCTCTCCAAATACTTAAATATATATTAACCATTTTTTAAATACTATAACTAGTTGCGAGATCTGCCATGTGCTGGATTATAGCATAGATTAACGAATTCTGATTTTAGGCATAAAATGTTGGTCTTAACAAACACACAAACATGAACAAAATCAACAAGCTGCTACCCTTCAAACCATACACAAAGATATTGAGAAACCATTTTATGGACGCACTAGTGTAACAATCAATGTATATTTTGTAACAAGGTAGAAATCGAGTAAACAATGTTGTTCATAATGCGAAAATTCACTTTTTCTACCTACAATATGATTTAAAACTCGGCGCACTCGCCAACGAGAATTTGGTTTAGTTGGTAAGGGCGTGCTTGTGGTTAATCCCTAATCCAAGTTCAATTCATGCCGTCAGCAGTTCTCTTTGGTGCACGTTCTGTAAATTCCTATGTAAATTTATATGGATGCAGTTGACAGTTAGTGCCACGCATAAGTCCTTCTAGCTTGAGGTTGTAAGTATGACCTGGCATTGGTGATGAGAATAACCTATAAACTTTCATTTATAAAAAAAATAAAAAAAAAACCTTAATGCACTTGTGTACAAGTTATCTTGTTTATTACATTACATATTTCACATGATAAGATTTGATAGAGACGAATTGAAATTTCGTCATTTTAATTTCAGTCATTTCATAATTTATTAATAATCTTAAATTTACTCATCAAAAAACAATGCAAAACAATTGCTGCGCTACATTTTAGTATATATAACTATTAGTTGATGTTCTTCCTGACTGATCATCCTTTCTCATCGAACAAAGCTTCTAATTTTAGCCTGACACTCATATCCGCAGTCGTATATGGCGAATTTCTAGCTTGAGATGGCTTGATCTTACTTTCTCCTCAATTTCCGTTTACTCTGAAATGTACGTTAGTTGTTTAGGCGAGTCTGATATTTATATATAAGAATCAAGCATCGTGAGTTTGATTCGTAATACAATATTGTCACAGTGGTATAAGTTTGATACAGATGAGTTTTACATTTTAAATGTGAGACTCATATACTTTTTATTTATCTCTATCTTATGATCAGCGACCTATTTTCTTTCTATTATTTATTGTATGAGTATCACACTCATGAGTTTAATATATTGAACTAAAAAGTAAGATTCGCCTCTTATCACTTAGATTTTTGACCTACTATAGGAGTTTGATTCCTATATTTTGGTATCACGCTCAGTTTCCGGTCTAATATGAAAGGCCTTAGAAGCATTTTTATCAGCTTTTAGTCATTTACTTTATATTTGAAGATTTGTATGCTTTCGTCTAGTATTTTTGTGAAGGAAAAACAAGTAAAAAATCTCTTTATTTTTCTTCTTTTTCTTTGTTTGTCAAAGCTAGCTTCTAGTTTAGGAACTACATAGTATTGAATGTTACGAAAAAATAATAACTGAAATTAAAATAGAAGATCAAAATAGTTGTGAAAATCAAATTTAACAGTTAAAACACCCTGAGCATTAAACAATACGTATCATTGAAGTCATACCCCATAATTTCTCAAAAGAAACTAATGTGACAATACGTATTGCATACATTTTTTTAATATAAACAATATTTATATCTTAACAACTAAGGCAAAACATGCATTGAATATTGAGTTTGGGCGAAATTATTGAAGAGTGGGGACAATGTTGGGTCTATGTTTGTGTTGTTTTAGGCTGTGACAAACGGTGACCTCTTTGAAACAGGATTGATAGAGAAGGTCAGATTCATATTTACAATGTATATGTATATAATCACAAGCACAAGCACAAGCACCACCAGCACCAGCACCAGCAATTATTGCTATTTTGAGGACCCATTTGAACACGTACATGTGCATGCATACTAGAACCATCAATGAAGACGTGTACGTCCTTTTTACTTTTTTAGTACTACTAACAAACTTGTCAATTGTCAAGAGCCCCTCTAATTAATAAATCTTGATCTTATATATGAAACGAATTCATCATTAGGCGCGTTTCGATCTATTAAAATAATAATGTTAATTTCAGTTAATTATCCTAAAGTTTCTTGGTTTTCAACATTTGAAACATTAAATTTTTTTTCGTCCCAGTCTGGTACCTA